AGAGAGCATAGTGAAGGTTTAGGTTTCATATGTAAGGTTTCCCAGCAAGCCCTTGAGATAAATTATAGTTTTAAGTGTGCCTTCACATAACCATTTATTCAACAAATATTTATTGAGCAGTGGCTGTGTCAGTCAATATGCAATATTAATTGTCTTTGGTTTTAACATAGAAGACATTTTGCACTAATTTTTCAGATGTCAAGAATGATTAGCAATTTGAGTATAAATTGTACCAAGGAGTAAAGATGATGATTTTATACTGGTCTTTGAAGTGAGCAGTGGCTTCCCCCTCTGTGCCTGTTTGACAAATAGAGTACACATGCTCATTCCCTTTAGTTGCTCAGCACAACCAAAGCTGGTGAGATCAATTTTTACAATGTGCTACTACTCCTTTGTGAATTGGCATGCCAAAGGAAAATAATAGGATCTCTCTTGTTAAAGTAACACCAAGGTGGTTTTTTAATGTGTTCCAGCAAATGCCAATGCCCTGTCCTTGAGTCAACTGTTTATTTATACTTTTGGGGGGCATTATAAGCCAACTCCAAGCTCTACCAATTACATGAAGAGAAGTCTGGTAAATATCTCGGGAGTTCTCTGTAAAGTACTAAGTAAGAACGAAAATAAGATAAATTAGTGCAACCTTTCTGGAGGGCAGTATGGCTGTACATGTTAAAGGACTTTCAAAACATGCTTGATTTAATAGTTCTCCTTCTAGTATTGTGCCCTGAGGAAGTAATAAAGGTGCACGAAGATTGTTCCACAAGGATTTTCATGATAGTGAAAAATTAAAAACAATCTAAATATCTAATAATTTGAAGTTGGATAAATAAAATTAGCCAATCTCCCTGAAAGAATGTTATTAAGGCATTAAAATGAGTTCAAAAAAAAGTTTTTGCATTTTCTGCCTCTATGATGGGCACATGTGCTACAGTGTCTGTCAGTGGCCTTGGAACACGCAGAAAGGTGGCAGAAGAGAAGCATTGAGCACATACATCATTTCCTCCAGAGGATGAAAAGAATATATGTTCATTAGATATCAAAGACATAGTTTAAATATCAGTATCAGGATGGGCACAAAGCATGGATGAGTTTAAAAGACAGAGGGTCAGGAAACTAAAGGTTAAGACCCATTGAAAGCATTCCTGTAAAATGGTGCAATGCATCACACTGGAAGGTCATTGGATGTACAGTGTAAAGGAAGAGTAGATGGGTATTGCTAGTCTTTTCAGATTTCTTATATTAAAGGCTGGTGATTTTCAAGGTCCTGAAAAATAAGAGGGGATTGTTTACCAGAAGTCATGTGTTACACTGTATACCTATAGTCACGTGTAATCTTTAACCCTATGGTGAAGTGATTTCTTCTCTGACTCTAGAGATGAAAACAATGGTATTTATCTCTAAGTGTTGCCCAACATCACAGAGGTAGGAAATGGAAGACTTAGGATTTGAATTTTGACCCTAACCCAAGAATAAAGGAGAATCCAGATTGTGAAAGTTGAAGAGGCTATTTGGGATAGAGTAGAATCTAAGAGGAGTGTGCTCCATGAAAGTAGTGAGAAGTTATAGTCTCCATTCAGGAAAAAAAAAATGCGGAAGAATGGACCACTTCTGGCTTGCAACACTCAGTGTGCAGTATATGTGATTGGTACAGTTAACACAACTAAGTCAGGAGTGCTCTGTTGAGTGTGTTTGATGAGAGAACAGCCTAGCTCTTAGAACCTTACCTCTTCTGTCTCCTCATTGTTAAGCTCTCTGGAGCATCTTGGAAGCTCACATGCTCCGGAAGCCCTGTGTTCTCTGCTATTTTGGGTACCCCAAGATGAAACTGTACCTTTCCTCGTAGCTTGTAATACACTCAAGTAAAGGGTTAAGGATGAAGGAGCCCAGTTGTTACACTGTAGTGTTCTGAACTTGTCATTCCATATCTGAGTAACAGGGAGCCGTTATTAGACAATGGACTCAATTTATTCAGTCATCAGACATTTATGGTATGCATACTATTTTATAGGTTTGCAATAAGTACTAATGATACTGATATTAAAACACTAACATCTCAAGGGTCAGGAAAGACAAGAGTACCAAGGGAAATGTGATAGTCTTAGAATGGGAAGCATATGAAGTGATGTTTTGGCTGACAGGTAAGAACATTGAGGAAATAGAAGGCATTACCCAGTGAGCTCAAGGAGAGGAATAAAAGGGTGGATTTCAGATGCCACGAAGAGAGATGGTATCAGCAATTAATGGGCAGAAAGGAAGAAACCCGTAGGTGTGCAGTGAGTGGGCACCATTGTCGCTATGAGGAAGGAAGCTAGCCCACAGAGAATTGGGTTCTGCTAGTTAGGGGCCAAGCATGAGGAGCACCTTGGAAGTATGGGACAGTTCCCTGGGGGGTGACTGGTGACCAGAGAGGAGACAGCTGAGCATCATGATAGGCCTAACTGTAGTGTAGCAGGGGATCTAAAACAGGGCCATTCACCAGTATTAAAATACTCCCTAACCTACGGGAGATGCCCCGCCTCTGGCTGACTAAGACCTAAGTGCTTTGAGCATGAGTCTTTATTACTCTTGGATTTGGGTCTGAAGTATCCCTTGCTGGCTCATGCTCCCCAGTTTTTAAGGCTGTATTAGAAGGCTATGGAGCTCTTAAGAAATTAGTGCTGAGCTGACAGTGGAGGTTCATGAGGGACAGGATCTTGAAGGTTGTGCTCCCCGTTGGTTCTGGCCTGTGAACCACTGCCATGTGAACAGGCCACTGATCCACGCTCCTGCCACTATGAGTGCTGCCGTGTCCTCCTGCCTTCCCTGCTGTAACTAGTCTTTCTCCTTTAGGTTATTTCTGTTGGAAATTTTGTCACACTGATGGAGAAGTGACTAATATATCCCTGTTACTACTGGGGTCACCAACAGCTTTGCATATTAAGACTGTCTCTGGAGTTGCTATACCCCTCATCACCCCAGAATTAGTTCAGTTTTGCATGATAGCACTTTGGTTTCCAATTCAGGGTGTCTTGTTAGGGTTTCCATTGCTCTGATAAACACTATGACCAACAGCAGCTTGGAAAGGAAAAGCTTTATCTCATTTTACAATTCTCAGGTCACACCACACCACTGATCAGGGTAGGAACCTGGAGGGAGGAGCTGATGCAGAAGCCATGGAGGGCTGTTGCTTACTGGGTTGCTCATCATGTCTTTCTCAGCCTACTTTCTTATAGAACTCAGGACCACAAGGCCAGAGGTGGCACCACTCCCAATGGGATGAGCCATCCATATCAATCACTAATAAAGAAAATGCCAGACAGACTTGTCTACAAGCAATCTGGTAGAGCCATTTCCTCAATTGGGTTTCCTCCTCTCTTAGACTCTAATTTGTGTCAGCTGGCAAAACAACCCACCACCACCACAACAAAAGAATCACTCAGGACACAGGGTCTGGAGTAGAGCTAAACTTGACAAGACACTAGAACAGTGGCTCTCAACCTTCCTAATGCTGCGACCCATTAATACAGTACCTTATGTTGCGGTGATCTCCCAACCATAAAATTACTTTGTTGCTGTTTAATAACTGTAATTTTGCTACTGTTATGAGTCGTAAAAGAAATATATGATATGTAGGATATCTGATGTGCAACCCCCAAAGGGATTGTGACCCACAGGTTGACAACCACTGCTGTAGTGGATATAGACTTTGCAGTAACCTGAAATGTCCATAGAAAACAGCAGGCTTCAGTTGCTTTGCTTTGAAGCATGTGAATAACTGTTTCTGTCCTAAAATGGGAGAAAGTCCGAGGTCATAGGCAGTTTCTCTAGATCCTCTATACAGACATGTAAAAAACTCTTGTGTCTTGAGAAGTTTGCAAGTTCCTTGAAAAACAACAAGACCTTAGTAAATGTTTATATCATAAGCTAATAAATGCATAGTGAATACAGTGCTTTCCCCTCATCTGTGAGCTGCATTCCAAGATCCCAGTTGATGTCCCAAGCCATAGACCATACCAAATACAAAATCTCCACCCACACACACACACACACACACACACACACACACACACACACACCATGCAATGCTTTTCCACGAAATGTGTCATATACTGGAGCTCTCACATCAGCAGTGTGAACTTTGACAGCCAACTAGCATGAATTCCTCTCCCTTTCACAATGTCATGGAAGATTCACTCTCACAATAAATCTTAACAACTTCAGCCTATTGTCTTTTCAGTATAGTTAAGAATTTCCATCTGCACACACACACACACACACACACACACACACACACACACACACACACTGACATGCCTCCCCACACACATACATACACACACACCATACACAGACACACACACACATCTTCTGTAATAAAGATGTACATGCAGATAGAGCACTCATTTACATAAAATAAATAAAATCTTTAAAAAAAAAAAGAAATGGAAATTCGGATCTATGTGTGTCAGGCCACTTAACTCCACTCTCATGAAAATCTAAAGAGTGCACTCCCGAAGTATGAATAGATGAAAAGCACAAGACACAGGGGACTCAGTTTCCTTTTGTGGGTTGTAGAGGTGATAACCAATGGAAACAATCCTCCAGCCCAA